AAAAGAGTGAGTCTGTGAAAGAAACTGAACAGACTAGTTTTTCTCTCTTGCTGTTTCGCTAGAGTTCAAAAAGCATACACACGAATTGCATTTCCTAATACATACTTTTACTCGTTCCTTTTTCACAAATCAAATCTTTCCAAGCATTCACTGCATTGTGGTGCCATTGGTTAGAATCGGGTTAGACTGATATACACACAGAATATCATTGTACATAGATATCAAAGCAGCATACCGGTATCCTATCTTAGAAATCCTTTATAATATACACCTGGTAATTATTGCAAACAATTAAACGTACCTGGTCAAGTACAATAAAGATGCAATCAAAACGTGACAGCAGTGAATCCTGTAGCCCAATGTTCTCCATGGGAGTCTTGTATTCATCATACTGTGATAAACAGACAGTCGGTTAAACTCTACGAGAAATCAAAATACATAGTCCCATCTAAAAGTGAGTTTTGCACAAAATTATTCTACACTCCATGTACAGCATTATGTCAAAAGTTCAATCTCATTTTGTACTCTCTGCAGAACACCACACACTAATTGTGATTATGAACAATTATTAAACATTTGGTTCGCAAAACAAATCCCAATATACTGATGTCGCATTACAAAATCAGACATAATTTTCACTGTCGGAATTATTCAAGGCCACTTTATTTTTAAATTTGATTTCACGTGTGCTGCACAAAATCCAAAGCCCCTAAAATGCTTACTGGGGGGGGGGGGGTCATTGCGATGCGAGGTTTTCTGCAGATCCTATTAAGTGGGAAGTATTATTGCAAAGGGTACACAGTGAACAAGAAACCTGTCATGGGAAAAAAACAAGCTGACTGCTTCAATCATAACTATAAACTTACTGTGATGCACATGCGTTGCGATTACGGAAACAGAGCCGAAAGCATGCACACTGTGTACACAATATGCTAAATAACCTTTAACGAGGTTATGACATGGACATATCTCACGAACATTATTTAAATGGGAAATTATTAATAGAAAGCATATAGTATGAAATGCCGGAATCGCGTATATTCGGTCTTGACCCCCACTCTGTCTATTGTGGTTATTTAAAGACCGTAAACGCTTTCTATCATACTAAATTCATCACCAAATTTGAGAACTGCGTTTTTCTTTTACAATACAATGTAAATGAGCAACGGCAACCTGCAATAGGTCTTGATTGTATATAGTGCCACCAGTAGCTGTTCCCGACTCCATGCGTCAAGTTAACTTACCCGGCCGTACACAGGATTGGCAGCAGCTAGCACAGAGCATCTGGCATTTAACTTGGCATGGATGCCTGCCTTGGCAATAGTTACACGACCTTGTTCCATTACTTCGTGTATAGCAGTTCTATCTTGATCACTCATCTTAACAAGAGAAAGGGTAGAATTGAGATTAGAATTTTTAATTCGTATGTGACACATCGTTCGATTCGCATGGTTTCTGGGAAGTCAAACATCCATGGTCGTTGCTACTAACGTGTGTTAGGAAAAGCGGTGTTTGACCTCAGTGAAACTGAATGATTTGATTGGGTGAACCAAGTCACAGGATCCATCAATTACAGTAAAATGACTAATTTTCACTGGGTTTAAATTTCACTGATTTAGCATTCCAGGCATATTCAGTGGGTTTTAAATTCACGATTTTATCATTTAGATAATGTGTTCTATGCTAAATTTTACATATTCACTGGGTTTTAATTTTCCAGTCAGCGAAAACAGCAAAATTAAAACCCAGTGAATAATAAACGCAATTACAGTATTCTCAAAAAAGTTGATCCTCAAACAACAGATCTAAATTAATTAAATGACCTATTGTCAGGTTATCACATTACAAATCAGGGAAGGTAACTAATTTTGCATATTCTCCTAATAACAATTGATTAATAACTACGATTTCCATTTAGAGAGCTCCGCCACATACATCACATAGAATCCATCTCAAGATGTTCCGCACAAATTACCAATGTGAAGAAACTCAAGCTTGACCACAAAAATTACTGTTAAATGATGCAAGCGAAAAGACTTCTACTGCATTCTATGCAACACTACATCTAGAAAACAGTCTTGGTTTTCTTTGCATAAAATTACCCAATATCATAAATTACAGGCGTTTCTATAGTTAAAATAAGTCGTATTTTAATGCACTTCTAATAGAGCAAATACATTTCATATTTCTTACCTTATCAAACTCATCAATACAAACAACACCTCGGTCAGCCAATACCATGGCCCCAGCTTCCAAGCGACGTTCGCCAGTCTCTTGATCTGTAGTGACAGCGGCCGTAAGACCAACACCGGATGAACCACGTCCTGTTGTTGGAATTGCACGAGGTGCTGTATGCAACACATATCTACAGAAAATACGGATATAATTTTCATTTTTGGAAATGCATATTATATTTGTTTGAGCAATAAATACAATAAATAGTTTAAAGACTGAGATGGTAACTGGGTCTGAATTATTATTTGAC